GAAAATCTAGAAATTTTAATTAAAGGAATTAATTAAAATCTATTTCGTGGTCCCATTAGCTTAATTAAGGTTTTAACTTGATATTTGTATTGGCCATGACTTGTTTATTAGTATATATTAATTTGGGACTATCTGAAGTTGCTTTAGAATCTTGGGATTTAAATTAGCATGATTTAATTAAAGTTCTACTTTGTTGTTCTAACAACCTAATTGAGTTTTAGAATGGATATAGGTGATGACCTTGCCATATCCTTTAACATGTATTAAATTGAGGTTAATTGGAATAGAATCGGAATCTAGAGAATTTAATTGTGTTTATCTATTTAAATTCTATCAATTTGCTTCATGATCTAATTGTGTTTTATAAGTGGTTTCTATATTCAAATCATGGACTTAGACTTATTGTATATTCATTTGGTTATGTTTTGAACATTGGATAACATAGTTGCTATATTTGTACTCATGAGAATATGTTTTCCTTATTGAATATATTGTTGCCTTGTGTAATGATTTGCACATTTCGTATTTAACATCTTTCATGCATAGCGTGTAACGAATCGCACACTGAAGATTCGACATTCATCATCTCATATTAGTTGTGGATTTAGAGCATATATTGTATAGGTTTCCAAATTTGGTTGTGCTTGGTAGATATTTGATTATCTTGCATATTCCTATTGATATATGCGTTGTTGCACAACTTGTTGATTTTGGAAACTTGGGGATATCATTGTTTGACTATGGCTAGGACGTGGTTCTAGTACGGGGGATAGTCCCTCTATATAGTCTAGTGCGCACATAGGGAGGTTACCCATGGGCTAGTAACCCTAAAGTAACTATGTTGTCGGTCTGATCCGGCGTGACGTCCGAGTATCCACTTTGTTTGATTTCGCATTTTATTTTCAAGTTGATAACTAGATGATGTTGTAACTTGTTATTTCTTATTTGTCGTTTCATTTTAAGTTACAGGATGTTAACTTTGCGAAATTATGTTTTATGCATTGTATTGGAAGTTCCAATGTCGGTTAAATTGCATCGATATTAAAAATCGTGTTTTAACATTCTAATAAAGCTTAGGATTGATCCTATTGATTCATTTATAACATAGACGTTAGGTGACATGAACCACTACTGTTATTTTGTGCTTTAGATTCTAAGTTGATGGCTTTGAGAACTTAAACCTTGTTGCATTGTATAACATGCTCTTTTGTTGTTAAATTGCATGGATAATGTGATTCTTGTTAACTTGTATTCAAATATGCTTTTGTCATGTTGTGTGGATTACTCTAGACCTAATTCAATTGTATTGAAAATGCAACTCATGTTAATCTATGCTCAAGCATTCTTCTTGTCGTGTTCTTTGGATTATCCCAACCATGATTCGTTTCATACACGTATGTATATCATGATTCTTGTTGCTTAGACTCTAAGGTAGCTCAGGATGCTCCCCGAGTCTCACTTGGACATAAACGTTAGGTGGCATGAGCCCCTTTGACATGTTTCACCTTAAGGTGATAAATTTGTAAAATGCTAGATCAATGCATGCTCATCTCCTACGAGTAGCTTTATGTTACTCACCCCTACGATACTGGGGCATATTTCAGGTACGAAGACTTGGTTCGTGAAGCCTAGCATTCCTTGGATGTCATGTAGCTTTTAAGTTTCCATTTCATGGAAATGTTAGCATGAAATGTCATTTTGTAGACTTATATGTCAAAATATGTATATTTGATTCCATGTATGTAATGTGTACTTAAGTACACTCCTTTCAATGCATTTGATATTTATGAGATGAGGCTGGAGGCCAATGACCATTATATTGTATTCTATGTACTTTTTAACTTCATGAAATATTGTGAAAATGTTGAAAAATCGCAAGTCATTGCTTCACCATAGTTGCATCGGGTGTGGGAATTCCATTTTCATTCTTTCATAGGGTCTTATAAATCATGTTTGAAGTGTGGCCAAGGGCCAAACGGTCATTTGATCCCGTTTTGTATTTTTGGATTCTGAGTTTTCATTCTAAGTTCCATTTTTGCCTTTTTGCCCGTTAGGGGGTCAAATTTTGTATCGGTGGTATTTTTAAGTCGTAGACCATTATAGCACGTCCAAATAGGTAAGTTACGTTTACGTACATAGTCGTTTCCGGGCAAAACCTTATCGTTTGTGATTTGAGCCTCTTGTGAATTCATTTCGCACTTTTTTTGCATATTCTGATCTAGGGGCATTATAGACTTTTCACTGTAGTTTTATTTTCTTCTTTCAACATGGTTGAATAGAAAACATGATTTTAGGGGGGGTTTCTTTTTCGTGTTTTTCCAGAAAATATCGTCTTGATATCGGAAATCGCTTACGAAGTTCAGTTCTCAGTTTTTCAATTTAGCAGCTTTTTGGACCTCCATGACCAGATTTCATGGAGGGGCATTTCGGGCATTCTACATTATGTTTTTTTAAATTCTCTCGCGAATCACGTAGAAAACTCAATTTTAAGGGGGGTTTCTTCTTTGTGTTTTTGCAAAAAAATTCATCTAGGCAAATTCAGCCTCTGTTCTGGATTTTTCTGAAAAATAACCCCACAGCAGCTTTATGGGCTGCTGCTGCTAGCCATGTGTGCACCCAGTGCGCGCACGGCGTGCATGGGCGTGCGCATGGGGCTGTCATGGCCCCTTGTCGGGCCGCCGCGACGTCAATTCTTCTTTTTAGCTTTTCTCCTTCGTCCGGACTCCGATTCAAGTGAAATTTTTTTTGAACTTGATTAATTTTTCGTCGTCTATCCAACGGTGTGCTCGGTTACACCCGGATATTTTTGGATAATTACCAGTTTACACTTAAAGCTTTAAGTGTCCGTTTTTCGTTGTCATGCCGTTTCTCCTTCGTCCGGACTCCGAATCATGCGATTCTTGAGTCCATCTTGATTAGTTTTCGTTAACCTTCCAGCGGTGTGCTCGGTGGCACCCGAATCTACAGTTTTCAGAAATGACTATTTTGCCCCTGGGGGCTTATTTGTCATATTTTCGATCTTTTGCTTCTGCATCAATTCTTGTTGAGTTCCACGACCTCATGGAAGGTCACTTTGGCTTCTTAGAGTCTTATTTTCTGTTTTTGCTTCCGCATTCGGATCCGTTATCGGATCATCCTTACGGTTCATCACAGGACACGCTGGCCTAAAAACCAGGGTCGTCACAGGCTAAAGGCCAAACGGTAAATTCCAATCATTTGTAAATTTTGGATTTCAAAATTTACATTTCAAGTTCATTTTCGCCTTTTTGGCCGTCGGGGGGTCGGATTTTGACTCGGTCATTTTCGGGAGCCGCAGACCATTCCTGCGCGCTCAAAATCACTTACTACGCTCGCGTGCATATTCGTTTCAGCTTAGAAGTGCATTTGGGGTCAAATGCAGGCTTGGTACAAAGTTTCATTTTTGTCGTTTTTAAGCCTAAACTGAGCATAAGGGCATTTTGGGATTTTCACATGAAAAATAAAGTTTTCTTTTGCCATGGTTGGCTAGAAAACATAATTTTGAGGGGGGTTTATTCTTTGTGTTTTTTGAAAAAAAGCCCAAAAAGTCCTCAAAATCACATTTCAAACTCAGATTCTGCTAAGCCTTCAGCAGAACGAGCGCTCGTAGGTGTCGCACGAGCGCTCGTAGATGGGGCAATAGGGTTTGGCCCTGGGATGAGTGTCATACGAGCGCTCATGGCCTTTCACGAGCGCTCATGGTACTGTTCATGTGTGTGTGTGTTTGTGTCTTGGTTCAACACTGCACCTCCGACTTCAAATCATCATATCTTCTTCGTTTTAACTCCGAATTGGTCCGTTCTTGAGTCTAAATTGACCGCGTCGAAATAAGATTTCCAATGGTACCAATTAAAGCTTCAGACTCATCTTGTAGCTCAAGATATTTAAGTTTTAGTGAAATAGTATCAGTTTTTGGTTCGAACCGGGATAAAGTTCCCCTTCCTTCGACTTCAGGACTTGATATCTTTGTCATCCGGACTCCGAATCAAGTGATTCTTGAGTCCAACTTGGTTAGTTTTTCATTATCTATCCAATGGTGTACACGAGGGTACCCATTTCAGTTTAGAATTATCATTTTACCCTTTAGCCTTAAATGCTCATTTTTCATCGTCTTGCCGTTTCTCCTACGTTCGGACTCTGAATCATGTGATTCTTGAGTCCATCTTGATTGGTTTTTCGACGTCTTCCCAGCGGTGTGCTCGGTGGCACCTGAATCCATATTTTTAAAATGACTATTTTGTCCCTGGAACTTAATTGTTATTTTTTTTTATCCCTTGCTTCCTTATTCCTTTGGGTTCCATGACCTCACAGAAGGTTATATTTCACTAACACTTAAATTCAAACAATTATCCAGAAAATCCACAACTTATAATTAACAATTAAAAATTTCAGCACTTGAAAATTCTAAAAAAAAATTAGTGATTAATTCCCTATTATGTGTGTGTTTGTGTGTGAACCTGCAACAACAGCTCCAAAATTGCAATTAAATAGTGCTGTTCGAGTACTTAATTCAGCTCTTAATTCTAAAATAAATTAGATTCTTATTCAATTGAATGTGTGCAATTTTATCTTTTTAGTGAGCTAGACTTCACTTAACACTTAAATTCAAACAATGATCCAGCAAATTCAATATTTATAATTAACTAAAAGTTTCAGCACTTAAAAATTCTTAAAAAATTTAGTGTTTAATTTCCTGTACCTGCAACTACTGCAAATCCTAAATCTAAAACTCCAAAATTGCAATTAAATAGTGCTGTTTGAGTAGTAAATTCAGCTCTTAATTCTAAATAAATTAAATTCTAATTCAATTATCACTTAACACTTCAATTCAAACACTTATCCAACAAATTCACAATTTATAACTAACAATAAAAAGTTTCAGCACTTAAATATCTAAAATTTTAGTCTTTAATTCCCTATTATGGGTGTGAATATATATATATATATATATAGATAAATAAAGAGAGGGAGAGAGATAGTACTCTGTGGGAATTGAGTGTGATGCCGAAGGAGGGATCGAGGGAGGCGGCAATGGCGGAGTCGGCGGCGTCTTTGGAGCGGAAGGTGATGTAGGCGACACCACCAGGGTCCATGCGGGTGCGAGATATGCCGCCGTAGATCTCGAATCGGGATTTGAGGTCTAGGACAGAGCAGTCCGGGGAGATTCCGATGACGATGACCGTCATGAGCGACTTGGCGGAGGAATTCCCCGGCCGATCGCCGTCGGCAGCGGCGGAGTCGGGCTGCGGAGTGGGCAGAGGGCGACGCCGTTTTGGGAAAGAGTAGGGGGCATGGCGGGAGACGTAGGGTTTATCTCTCTTGCGGCTCATTTTTGTTTGGGGAGAAGGAAAATATGTGGGAAAAATAAGTATCTTACGGAACGGCGAAAGAAATATGATTCGCAGGTATCCAAGGTTGACACGTGTCAACGTACTAGTGGTAACAGACAAAGTTTCGTAACCTTTGAAGTTGCAAAAACATATGCTCAATAGATTTCACATCAGCCAATTAAAATTTTTCTGAACTTACAAAAGAAAAAAACCACTAAAAAATGTGCAATCCCATCTCAAAAAATACATATAAATCCTTATAATTTAAAATTTTAAAATAAGTTGTTACTGATTAATATTTTTGACATTTCAAATTACTCTTAAGAAAATTTTAAATATTTCTTTTTTTAATAAATAAAAAATAATTTTTTTTTTTGGTATTTTATTTTTTGTTTATTCTTATTATTTAATTTTTTTAGTTTTTATTATTTATTATTATTCTGTCTTGAGGGCGTTTTAAATATTTCTGTCTTCAAATAAAAAATTTGTCCTAATTTGCTCAATTTTAAAACACCCTTAAAACAAAATATTTAAAATACTCATATGGTATACAACAGGTTTTTTTTTTTTTTAACATTTTTATTATTAAATGAAAAGGCAATATATAAGAGTAACCCTTCCTTGCCGAACAGAATGGCGACTTCATTTTCAGTGGTTAATGCCTCAACGAAGAAGAATTTTACCCACCAATTTCGAAACATAATCGAAGAAGGCAACATAGTAAAAAATTCATCATGTGATATTCAATCTAATTTCGTGGTAAAACTCCATAAATTTTAAATGAGTTCTATGTAGTATGTGTTGTTTGATAAAAAGTGAAAGGTAATAAAAATTTCAAGAGAGTTGAATTGTAAAGTGTTAATTATAATTTGAGAATTTAGTTGATAGTTTGTACTTTAAGTGTTGTGCATTAATTGATAAACGAAATTTCTTCCTCTTAAAATTTTAAGTGACTATTAGTTTAAGTGGTATCTAAGTTAGGTTATTAAAATACACTTAATTTAATATTTACTTAATTTACAAAATGTGATGTAGTATCATATTTCTTTCCAAAGTGAAAGACTTGCTTGTCAATATAAAAATAATAATAATAAAATTATTTTTGAATTGAGTTATATCACCATATTGTGTCTGGATTTTCTAGAATTTTAAGAAGGGCAGATCGAGGAAAGATGAGATTTTGAGGAGTGACATGTGAGTTAATCCAAAATTACGAGATTGGCCGAGAGAGAAAAAAATGTTATGAGAGGAGATAAAAGAAAGAAAAATAATAAAATAAAAAAACATCAAGGTGTGGTTTGATAATCAATTTAGAGAATTAATTTTGAATATATTAAAGAGTTGGGGATGTGCAAGAAAATGACTAACTTTCCATATGTTGGCAGCTAATTGTCATGGTCCACTAATTTGTAAGGGAGTTGTGCCACACAAGGCAATACCAAAGCGCTAGGAGGATTATGTAAGACATGAATGGAGTGAAATTTTAGTCTTTTATGTTTGTGTAGAATTGAAATAATTTAAACCATGGGTGAGATTGTAAATATTCATAAAGTATAGAGAAAATTTTTGAAGTGTCTTGAATTTTATAGATTTCTATATATTTTAAAGGAGTATTCTAAAGAATCATAATATCTATTAAGATGTCTATATAAGGAGGGAAGGGTGATGTTTGTAACCATCACATATATGTGTGATGACTAAATAATAGAAGGTGTAATAGTAGTGACAGCACGTTTTAGAGTGAAAATCAATTCCGAGGGTATGCAATTTCGATAATCTATATAACGATATAATATATACACCTTAATTTTGAAATATATCAGGAGTTGGGGATGTGCAACAAAATAACTTTCCATATATTTGGTTGACAGCTAATTGTCATGGTAAGAAACATGAGATTGTAAATATTTATAAAGTATAAAGAAGATTTTTGAAAATAATAGAAGGTGTAATAATTATTACGTTGAGTGAAAATAAGTTTCGAGTATGCAACTTCCATAATCCATATAATGATAGAATATATACTTTAACGTTATTTTGTTTGCATGGTAATTGAAGCAATTTTGACCAAGGCGATATCTTTTTTTGTGAAACCACCTAGGTAAAGAAAAAATGTAACCCACAAAATAAATCTAGAAAGAGATTCAATTCCAAAACAAAAAATAATAATAAAATAAAATAAAATTGTTTAATAAATAAATAAATGAAAATTTTGCTTTGTTTTATTTTTATTTGTTTATTTATTTTCTCCAATAATAGTGGTGTGGGTGTATAAGTTCAAGGGTTAAATGTAAAAAAAAACCCTTGCACTATTAGGGTTTTGCAATTAACCCCCTTGAACTACAAGAAACCTCCTGAATTATGATTTTGTTGCAAAAAAACCCCATATACTATTGATTTGTTGCATCTCTATCTTTCAATGAGAGGGCCCCGGTTATTAATTCTCTGTAAATCTCCGAATTCTAAGGATCTCTAGAATTCTAAACAAGAGGGAGTTCTTAGTACTAATTGAATTCAATCAATCAGAGATTTCCTTCAGAAGGATCCTATGGAATCCATTCACCTATGTATGCCAAAAGTTTTGTGTTATTGATTCCTAGGTGTAGTGATTCTTCCCCTATGCCGCCTATTGGTACTAGTAGAGGAGGATTAACTTGTAACACAGAACCTCTAGGTGTAACCTTGCGCTCAATACTAGAATCGATAATTGAAGCATAGCCTTTAAGGCAGCACTAATCAAGGATTACCACTTAGACCTTTTTGAAGAAGGTTCTGTTACTAATATATTTACTTCCATTGTGGGTAATGTATTTGGGTTCAAAGCCCTGCGTGCTCTACATTTGGAAAAAAAAAAATAATAATAAATAAAAAAAAAATTAAAAAAAAAAAAATTAGAGGATTACTTCGTTCCTGATAGTTATTTACTGAATCGGTGGATAAGAGCATACTCTGGATCGGAATCTATCAATTAGATCCTTTATCCATAGAATAAAGTAGCTAGGCATATCTATTTCTTCATATTTTGACTTCTATGAAGTTTCTTTCTTTGCTACAATTGATAAAAATCGTTGTTTTGGACGATGCATATGACTTGGTCGAAAATATTAAAAGACAAATTTACCCTTACTTAAAACTACGACGTTTGAGAGTTATACATAATGTGGCAGTTGATAATTTCATAAACCAATAAAAATGTGACACCAATGCAACAGATGATACCATCACGGCAAGGTTTGGGGTTAACATCGAGGTTGATCTCGACATGACGACAACGATGATTCTGGTCTGGTGGCAAGGACGCAATGATACTAGTTTTCGGCGTTGGAAAGAGAGCCCCTGGTCGGAATTCATCGCCTCCTACTCATTCAACCGTCTGGCTACTACCGAAATCAATCACCTAATCACCAATTCGGATCATTGTGCTCACCCCAAAAAATTGCATAAACACCCACAAACCACCACCTCTGTAATCAATCAAACAAACCAAATCTTACACCCAATCACAACCCCACAATCAACACCCCTATTCACAAAATCGGACTATGTAATCAACAATCCAGAACTGTAAATTCACATTATTGCAACAAACAGCTATCCACCATTATCACAAATTAGTCACAAACATACTTACAACAACACCACAGCCCTGCTGACGACGGCCGTTCCAATACGCCAAACTAAATGTAGTGAATGTGTGGTTCAAGAAAAGCCTTTTATGTCAAATTTAAATTTATAAAAACCACTACCAACACCACTACTAACGTAGCAAGAGTGAGTAGGGATCGTCCCAAGGGATTATACGTGTTGGAATTTCAACTTCGACTCTAGCGTACCAAATGATTGCAAAAGAGAGTTGGGTTGGTTGATTACTTCTAGAAAAGAATTAATTAAAATGCAATAAAAATAAAACTAAGTAGAGATAGGGACTTAAGAGATGAGAAGAGAGGACTTAGGGTGTTGGAATCACCACTAAGCTCATGTAATTAACCACTTGCTTTCCATTAATGGGGAATACATTGTTGTGAACAAAATTGGTTCGACTAGCAAAGGTGACTCAACAAGTGTATAATGTCTAAACAACATGTGAAAGGCCACAATATATCTATTGGAAGAGGAATATATTGTCTAGACAACATGTGAAGAGAACAAAATATCAAATCAAGTCATTAAACATTTCATTAAGCTCATAGTCAAAATAATTCACAAGGATGACTTAGTTAAACATATATTGTCTAAACATCATGTGAGAGGCCACAATATATCTATTGGGAGAGGAATAAATTGTCTAAATACATGTGAAAGATACAACATATCATAACTAGTCATTAATCCTTCATTAAACTCAAAATTCCATTACACCACAATATTAGAGCATATGCTTCTCGCATTCAAAAGCATGGAACATCAAAGAACAAGCATGAATTGTCTCCCCCATCTAACACTATACTACAACTACACTACTAGCATGAAAATAAACTAAGGGAGAGGTACAATCCATCAAGGAATAAGTATGAACCATCAAGAGACATAACAAGAGCATTCCATTAAGCACTAATGTCTAGCCATCACTAGATTCTCAATTAACCACACATAGACATGCAATTAATATAGAAAAACTAGTGTAGAGATCAATTCCCCAAATAATCACACATAAGACAGCATGTAATTAAAATAGAGAATCAATGGAAGAATTAACCCATATGAATCATGTGAGACATAATTCTTAATTTAATCACACATAGACATGTAAATAAACTAGAGAATTAATAGGAAGAATTAGACCATGGAAATCATAGAAATATACCAAGATTCATGAAATTCACAAGGCTAGAACACTAATCACAACAATATATATATAAATCCTCAAAAATAGAAATACAAGGGTTTAGATTACACAAGACTTAGGGCTCATCCAAGCCCTAAGTGTAGATCTAGTCAATCATAGAGGAGGTGGATGTAGTCATGGAATCAAGCTCCAAACATGGCTCCATCTTCTTCTTTCTCTTCTTCTTCTTCTT